AACGAGTACGCATACAAAAACGATCAACGGAGGCATCAACTGATACTAAAACTAAAGAGATGCATCAACTAACAACAACGTCATCAACAAGTAAGAACACTGCCACAAAAAATATGAAAATAATAAATTTAATAATAAAAAAAGATGAAAACAAATATATGTGTCCAAATAATATGTGCCGAAAAATATTAAAAGCACAAGGTGCAACAATGCATGTCAAAGCATGCGCTATAGCATGGCTGATCGAACAAGAAGTTCAAACTTAAAGATCCGAAATCTGAGTTAGATTGTTGTATTTTATGATGACTGTCACTGAAACCGGATCCGATTGTGGTCCGGAGGTCACAGACTGACGGTCGACGCAACAATCTTTTCTTCTAGAGACACACTTCTCTAATCTATGATTTCAAGTTACTCTGGTTTGTTACCTATTTATATGTAGTGTGTTGCTTTATGTTCTGTCTTGTATATATGTAAATGTCCTTGTCATCGTCTTAGTTCTTTTTGTGTTTTATGTCTGTGTTGTGTCCTTTTGTATCTGTAAATTTTCTTTTTCGTATTTTAACTACCGTTTGTTCTTCGCCTAAACTGGTATACCAGTATTGGCTATCTATCTATCTATCTATCTATCTATGTACCTATTACCTTACACCTGCACATCCATAGGGTGACCTAAAAGCTTTGACACTTAACAATGTGGGTGTGTCCGGATGAAGAGAGCCAAATCTACGCCCACACTCCACAGACATAACCACATCCATCCAAACCCACCCACATTGGCATTCATACGCCCACCCATACCGGCACTCACCCCCACTCACACGCATACACCGACATCCACAACTCACACCCACACTCCACAGTCAACCACACCAGCATAAACACACCCACATCACATCCACAGCCACACCCAACCTCATGAATATCTCCCGAAGATGATCTCCGATGCGAGCCGTTTCTGGAGATCCCACATTAATTTTTTTTGATAGGATTGTAGCCCAGAGAGAGTGCTTCCTACTTCTACGGATCAGCTCCCCAAACAATTCATTTCTTTGGAGGTAGCCTGTCATCAAAAAGGATGTGAGTGTGGGTGTAGCTGTGTGGATGTTGATGTGGGTGGGTTTGGATGGATGTGGTTATGTCTGTGGAGTGTGGGCGTAGATTT